GCCTCTCCAACAGCAAGGCCACAGCTCCCCAACGTTCTCCCCGCGCCAGCCTCCCCTGCGCCAGCGGCACCTCCGCCTCCTGCGCCACGCGCTCCTGCACCGCGGCCACGCGGCGGTCGAGCTGCAGGCGGTGCAGGTCGAGGTTGGCGGGCGAGATGCAGCCGTGCGAGTGGGCCTGCGAGGGCCCCGATCACGCCCGCTGGGCCCGTCGCCGCCCTCGTCCCCCGAGGAAGAGGTGGCGAAGCGAAGCGAAGCGAAGGCGCCGGAGTCGGGAATACGGGTGTGCCCGTGCCCTGCTGGGCAGGGCGCACGAGGCCGTGGCCTCACATCGTGTGCACACAGAAGTCGTGGACCCACTACTTCAGGAAGCAGTGCACACAGAATGCAAGGAGGAGTGGGAAATGAAGAAGAAGAAGAATAATAATAATAAGAAGAAGAAGAAGAAGGAGGGATTGGGATTGGGATTGGGCAGCTGGTTGCAGCTGGTGGCGGTGAAAGATGGTGGGAGTCTCCAGGGGGGCCTTCGGCGGGGAGGCTATGGAGCCCTCCAGCGCGAGGTCCTCCTCGTACATCTTGAGCACCACTGCCCCGCGGGTGCCGCGCAGCGCGCCCAGCGGCAGCCGCAACTGCGAGGCGCCGGGCGCCTCCCCCCTCCCTCTTCCGCCCCGTCCACTTCCCTCCCTCCGCCCACCCTCGGGGGGACGAAAGGGGGGGATAGCAAAGGGTCGGGTAGAGAATCAGCTCACGTAGCTGATTTGGTGGTCCCCAAACGAGGTGGTGAGAACACCCGGTGGTGAGTTTTGGGCGATCTGGGTAATGGTTTTCGAGCGCTGGCTGGCCCAGGAAACGCAAAACCTCGTGGCGACCGCGTGTCCCCAAACCCGGTGGTGACCCAGACTTTTTTTGGGGGGGAATCGGGGTCACCACCGGGTGTCTCACCACCTGGTTTGGAGACCACCAACTGATTTTCCCAGTGCCTCCCGGCGCCGGGAGGCGCCCATGTATCGAGGAATGGGCCCGGCGGCGGGGCCGAGACCAGCTGCATGCAGCAGATTACGTACCCCCCCCTTTCCCTATCCTCCCCCTTCGTTCGGCCCGATCCCTCCGCCCACCCCCTCTCATATTCTCATCCTGCTGAACTCGATTGGGAAGCATGGAACTCAAAGTATCGACGGAGTGTCTGGGGCGCGCCGTTTGCGAAGTTTCGCGCGAGGCGCTGCTGCAGCAAAAAAGGCGTTCGCGGAGTTCCCCGGAAGCGTCTCAGAATGTTTTGCAAAATCGCAGCCGTCGGGGATCTAGCAAGCGCAACTGTGTTCTTCAAGCTTACGAGTAGGCGGCGAGAGCGCGCCTCCCTGCCCCCCTTGCAAATCCCTCGGTCCCTCCGCTCCCCCGCTCCCCACCGCCTCCACCCTCCACTTCCGGAACCCCCTCTCGCCCCCGTTGGCCGAGGGGGTCCGCGGGAGGACGTCGGGGCCTCGACGGACGGGGCCACTCCCCCCCCATCTCCATCTTCCCGCGCTAGAAGAAGAAAAAGAATAAGAAGAAGAAACAACGTCGTGACCATTAACTTTAGCAGGGACCGACCGTCCCGGCATTCCTATAGTCCTACCACGAAATGTTCTTAGAACCCACAAATGTTCTAATAACAAAAACAAATGTTGTTAGAACCAGGACGCTTCGCCACTGCTTGATGAACGTTTGGCGCTCCGTGCGGATGTCTTGGATCTGCGCTGGCTTGGCCCCCCCTCCCTGGCGCGCGGAGCGCGCCAGGGGCGGCGCCAGAGGCGCCCCCGGGGGGGCGCAGCGCGGATCCAAGAAATCCGCGCGGAGCGCCGAAAGTGTATGTTTATGGCGCTTTTCCTTCTTCTGCGCGCTGCCCCCCCTTGCAGCCTCATCCTCGGCGTGGCCGCGCGGCGTCGGCAATACGCCGCTGACAGCTCTGGCCGCAGCGTCCGGCTGCACGGGCCACTGCGCCCGGGGGCCGCCGCGGCCATCCATCGCGCCCCGGCCCCACCGACGGGGCTCTCGGGCGGGGGCCTTGGGCCGAACGGGCTGCGAAGCCGCAGCAGGCGGCGGGCAAGGACGAGGAGAACCAGGAGGAGCAGGACGGGATGGACGCGGAGGGAGGATGGAGGATGGCTGGACAACTGGGCGCTGAGTGGAGTGTCCTCTGGGCCCTTCGAGCCCTCAGTATAGAGTACAGAGTCATGCACAGTCTTCTAGGAGCCCATGCCCCCAAATTCCCGTCGCTCTTGGGCGCTTCTTTGGGGATCCTCTGACCCGGGTCAATCCAGACCCGGGTCAGCGGGAAACCAAAAACTGCAATGCGGGAAAAAAAACTGCAACGCAGATCTTCGCAAACCCGGGTCAGCCAAAATGCGCGGCCGCCTCGCGGCCACGAGCGGCTCGCTAACCCGGGCCAGCCAGAGGGGGTCTTCGCAGGATCCTGCAGGATCTGGTGCCCTGACTGACCCCCGTTTGCATGGACCCCCGTCTCCAGGCTCCCGACTTCTGGGGCTGGTCGCTTTTCCGGAGGCACCAAGAAGCCTCGAATCAGGAAGAAAGGGCCTGGCTGCGAGACCTATGTTGCTTCACAGCAGCAATTCGGCCCCTGACTTTCGTCCTGGGCTCGGTTTAGTGAAGTGATGAATTTCGGGGTCCTTACGTGGGAAAAAACATCACTTCACTAATCTGGGGCCCCTGGGGCCTCAGTGGGCCCTGGGGCCCAAAATTAGTGAAGTGATGGTTTTCGGGCCTCGGACCTGGCCCCCACAGCAGGCGCAGGGGCGTTGGCGCACCAAGCGTCGACGCAGTCTGCACGGCGACCTCGCAGACCAGGGCGGCCTGCGTCACGGCAGCGGGGCCTCCAGGCAGGCCGCCTGGCACAGCCCGTCGCCGCACCGAGCGAAGGCCCCCCCCGCCTGCGCAAAGGGGGCTGAACAGCCCGACCCCGCCCTTGGGGGCCCCCCCGGGGCTGGAGGGAGAGGGGAAGCAGGAATAGGGGGGGCAGGCGGGAGGAGTGGGGGGAGGAGGGGGGGGGGCGGCGGCGGCGGTCTCAGCAGAGAGAGAGAGGAGGGACGAGGGGTGGGAAGGAAGGAGGGCGATGGGGAGTCTCATGAGGAGGGTGGTGGTGAGGATTTCATGTGAGCGTGGCAGGAGAACTCCGAACAATACACCACCACCAGCCCTGGCCAGGCCCATTCTGATCCTGGGCCCTGCCCTGGTGTGCAGGCCCCCCAGGCCCAGGCCTGGAGGTCTGCACACCAGTCCAGGGCCCAGGATGGGGCTGGCCAGAGCTGGTGGTGGTGTATAGTTTGGAGCTCTCCGAGCGTGGGCTGGAGTCAAGCGCTAAGTCCCTGGCGCTACCACACCGCACAGCGCGACGAAGTGAGACCGAGCGAGGGCCGGAAAAGCGAACGAAGCCAGGGCCACAGGAAGACACCACGAGCGGAGTGACCGACCGAGGAGGAGCCGGAGCCCGAAACCACGCAAGGGACACCAGAGCAATCCAGCATGCTCAGCAGGCAACGCAAGCTGCCGTCAGGCGGTCCCTTGGACTCCTGGGTCCAGGGCACAGCTTCGCATGGGCACCACCAGCACAGAGACCCAGGGCGGCGCGCTGGGGATGGTCAGGCGAAGGGCGCTGGGGAGGAGGATGCTGCTGCTGGCGATGACGACGACCAAGAAGGCGACCGACGGCGGGGCGGAGAGAGGCGTGTGCAGCAACAGAGACTCGGGCCGGGACGCGGCCTCAAGGCGCGGGCCTCGTGCTCCGTGTCCCCGGCCGCCTGCGCCAGCGGGGGCGCGACCGACGGAGTGGGACACCCGCCTGTAGCTGAAGAGAGCGAGCGTCGGGTGGCGGAATCCGCACATGCGCGGACGAGTTCGTGCGAGGAGCGGGCTCAGGGGAGGGGGCACTGGGGGCGGGCTGGCGGGGGGACGGGGGGGCCGGGGGAAGGGAGTGGAGGGATGGATGTGAGGGCGGGAGGGAGGACCGAGGTAGAGGGAGAGGGAGGACGGGATGGGAGAGAGGTGAGGGAGGGAGGGGCACAAGAGGGGGATGGGATGGAGAAAAGACGTCGCTGCATCTACAGCATGTTCGTCCCCCAGTCCTTCTGAAGTACCAGTCTCCTCGGTCACAACAGGGCGTCAGCCCCCTCCCCGTAAGAGGTGCCATGCGTGCTGAACTATCCAGCTGCAGAGTACCCCAGAGCATCCCCCCATCGTGTCCAATCATCCTATGCAGTCCTCCTTCGCCGTCTGCTGCTTCCAGCCCCCCCTTCCATCACCTCCTGTGATGGGCCTGTTTTCCACCACCACCACCACCACCATAAGTTGGAGGGGGGAAAGAAGGAAGAGGAGGAGGAGGAGGTGGAGGAGGTGGAGGAGGAGGCGGACAAGGAGGAGGAGGAGGAGGGGGAGGACCCCTTCCCCCTCCAACTTATGGTGGTGGTCGTGGAAAACAGGCCCATCATCCTGACTCTCCTCCTCCCTGGCCCCTCCCAGAGAGGAGGGCCAGGGAATGTGGTCGCCGCCCGACCCAGGCGTCTTGGCCCGCGTGGCAGGAGGCTCGGCGGCGCCTCCCGCACGCTCCGCTCGGCACCCGGCAGGGGGGGGGGGGACTCCGCCGCCGCGCGTTGGGCAGCCGAGGCCCTCCGCGCCGCCCCAGCGCGGCTCGCAGCGCCCGTGACGGAGGTCCCGCTGCAGCGTGGCGCGCAGCGCCCACGACGGAGGTCTCGCCGCTCCTGACCTCCTGGCGCAGCTCAGGGCTCGTGCCGGGTCCAGCGGCACGGGCCGGTCGGAGCTCCAGGCGCCCTGGGGGGGGCCTGGGGCCGCAGCAGGCCCAGGGCGCCACAGCCACAGCGGCAGCTGCTCGGGGCCTCCAGCTCGGCCAAGGGGGTGGCGTGCCGCACAGCACGAGCGCGGCTTCCGAGCTGCACGGGCAGGGAGGACGAGGCGCAGCGCTGGCTCGACGAGCGCAAGGAAGCGAGGGCTGCGGCGAGTGATGCAGTGATACAGCGGCGGGCAGGGACGGCCGCAGTGATGCATCGAGAGGCGTCGGAGCTGGGTCTTCGCAGGTCAACCTCTCCAAACCCCTCAGCGCCGAGTCCGCCGACATGGGCGAGATCGTGGATGGGGGCATCTTGGACTTCACCGACCTGGGGGTGGAAGAGCCAGAAAAGCAGCGCTGGACCGAGCTCAAGGCCACCATCGGCAAGGAGCTGCTGGCGGCCACTCTCTCGGCCATTGGACCGACAGCAGGCAACATCCAGCGCCCGCGGCAGGAAGCTCGAGAGATGCGCCAGCGCCTCTCGGTGAAGCGGGCTCGTTGGGACGAGGCTGAGCGGATTGTAGCCGATCCCGCGGCACCATGTGGAGGCCAAGGCGGAGGCAACTCGTCCAGCGGCGGCGCCACGCAGCCTGTGGCACCTCCTGCTGCCGCTCCTGCTGCCAGCCACGCGGCTCCAGCCAGGGCTTCGCGGGCATTCCCCCGCAATTTGTTCTGCCCTCGGCCCAGCCTGAGGACGTGGAGGATCGAGCCCATCGCTCCTGGATGCATGATCTGGCGTCTTGGAGCGGTCGGTGGATGTGGAAGGTGCACGGTGAGACTCAGATTGACGAGCAGAATTGACAAGGGTGGTGCGACAAATTTTGGTTTGATGTGCTCAATCAGGTTGGGGCGGCCCCGTTGAGGCGGGGCTTTGTTCGGCGCTTCAGCCCGTCTGGCTCACTGCGTGAGGCGGCACGTGAAGCTTGCCGAGAGGCCTGGTTCAGAGGGAAGCGCGGCCGTTTTTACACCTTCCCGGCGCCGCTGGCTCGGCCAGTCTGGCAAGCCTTCGCCGATGAGCGCTGGGAGCAGCTGCACAGGCAGGTGGGCATCTTCAGGGCGCTGCCGGACAGACGAGGGCCGAGGCCCAGACAGGCGGCCTTTTGGGGCCGTGCATCCGCCCCCGGGGAGCCCTTCGTCGGTGGCCTGGGGCAGACCCAACAGGGAGGGAACAGCGGGCTCGCGAGGGAGGCAGCAGACGTGCGGGTGGCCGGCGCCCTTCCCCGGAGCCCAGCCGCACGTCAGGGCCGCGCTTGTGCGGGTGGTCGATGCCCCTGGTGCGCGCGACTCCTTTCAGAGATCCCCGTCGCGGTGTCAGGCAAAGCCAATATCTGCAGCGCAGCAGTCGGGCCTCCTTTTGGCCACTTGCAATCCGAACGCCTGGGCCACAGGCGTCAAGATTCTGTAGTGGAGTAAAGAGGTCAAGTCACCTACTTACGACGGCATCTCTTTCCAAGAGCACCGCCTACTGCCAGCGCAGGAGGCTGCAATCCGCTCGCGGGCGCATAGAGCTTATTACGCGGCCTCTTTTCAGCCCGGCAGCGCGCGCGGAAGCAGGCACCGGAGAGACCTGAGGATGAACGGCGGTCCTGGTCAAGGGACAATTTGGCTCGACTGATTATTGCCATGCCCGCTTGTCAGATAGGATCGTGGCCAGGCGTGTATTATTTTATCCCAGATGGCAAGTTATCTGTTTGCATATGTGTATGACCACGGGACGCTAGGTACTGTTCAAGCTAACTTATCATTTAGACCACGTCAATGAAGCTGTAGCGGCCTCTGGGCTACCACTTTATCATTGCAGGCGACCGGAACATAGATGCAGAGAACTTACGTCAGGCACAGTGGAGTGGCCATCTAGTTGCAAGTACTGTTCAGCCCCAAGGGCCGACATGTCATGACAAGTGCTACGAATGTGAGGGCACACCTGTGGCATCAAATCTCTGTGCCAGAAGGGTGTGAGCAGATTCCCATCAAAAGGAGCTGTCCCACTCCACTCAGACTGACATCCGCAACGGGCAGACTTCGGAATTCGAGAAGGCTGGCAATTCAGAGGCGGAAAGGCTGGCCAAGGACGGGGCAGCTCTCAGTCGCCACGACAAGGCCGACATCCTGTTGGCAAAAGGAATGCTGTGTTTCGCCAGGCAGGTCCTGAGGTGTACCCATCGGTCGGAAGACGTGGGTGGAAGCATGAAGCAGGAAGGCGTTGAAAGTAGACTGGGTTCCCGCCCGCCCCCTGAAGAAGACGGAAAAGGCGAAGCCACTCGATCATTGAAGTAGGAAGGCGCTCAAAGTAGATTGGAATCTGGGAATCCAAACAGACGTACTCTCAACCTTTGTGGGCCCCGGAAACGGCAGGGCCGTTTTTTCACCCTTTCCAAAAAAAAATCCATTGAAAATGGAAACGGCAAAAAAACGGCGACCGCAAACGGCAAAAAAACGGCTCCAGGATCGGAACTGGAACCGGAACCGGTCAAACAACGGCGACGGAACCGGTAAAAAAACGGCGTCGGAACCGGCAAAGAAAAGGGCAAAACAGAACCGGTAAAAAAACAGCCCTGTCGTTTCTAGGGCCCACTAAGCTCTCAACGACCGATGGGTACTTTTCGGGCCGAGGTCTTCCCTTCTATCCCTCCCTAGCGGGCGATCCCTGGCCCCTCCTCCTCCATACCTCCTCTCTGCCACATGCCCCCCTCCCTCCTCACTCCTGCCCCCCTCCCCCCACCGGACCGAGCGAGGAGGAAGCGGACGAGTCGGGGCGGAGAGGGAGAAAAAAGAGGAGAAAAGAAGAGAGGATGCAGGAGGATTCAGGACGAGGAAGGGGCAAGGCAGGGGATGGCAGGTATCTAATGGGAAGGAAGCGAAGAGGACGCAAGGAGAGAGAAGGGACGAGGGAGGAGGGAGCAGGGAGGAGAAGGCAGGAGGGAGGGGAGGAAGAAAGGTAAAGGAGGGAGGAGGGAGGGGAACAGGGGGTTCATGTGAAAATGAAGGGAAGGAGGAATTGGCTGCGTCAAAGCAACACCTACCAAGGCATGCAGCATTCAGCAATGTCACATTCATGTGCACATGAAGAGAAGGAAACGAGAAAGATGAATAGGAGAAGGATCGGAGAGGATGAAGAGGAAGAGAAGAGACATGAGGAGGGGAAGGAGGGAGAGGAGATCGGAGGGGGTGGAGGAGGAAGAAGAAAAGCACTGGGAATGAATCAACGGGGAGGTCCAGGGGCGAGACGGAGGTGCGGGGGGGAGGCGCGGCGGCGCGGCGCACGGAGAGGGAGGGGGGACGAGGAGGAGGAGGAGGAGGACGACGACGACGACAGCGACGACGACGGCCAAGAGGGAGGGAGAGAGGGCGACCTCGAGCTGCCGGCGCGCCGCCGCGGCCTCCTCCTCCTCCGAGGCCCGCACGTCTCTGAGCCGGCGCCTCAGGGAGGCCCCCCTTCAGGCACCTTGGAGCATCACTGAAGCTCCCCCTCCCCCCCCCTGCTCCCCCTGCTCCCCCTCCTCCTCCTATTCCTATTTCTATTCCTCCTCCTCCTCCTCGCAGGAGAGAGCGGAATGGCGGACAGGGCGAAAGGACGCCCCCCTGCTCCCCCTTCCCTCCGCGCGCTGTCCTCCCCACCTGTCCTCCCCTCCCGCCCCTCCTTCCATCCCCCCCCTTTCGGGCACACGCCAGCATGGATGGGCGTGGCAAACACGCGCCCCTCGCGAAACAGGCAGTCAGACTCCGCTGCCCTTGGTCGGAAGTCGACGCTAGATCGGCAGCCCACGACGACGTCGACTGCACCAGTATAGAAGTCCGGCTATGCGAGCCAGGCTGATCCAGACCCCAAGGGCAATTATTAAACATCTCCACCTCGTTGCCTCTAGCTAGATCCTGCAAGCGGCCACTCCCTGCGCGCAGACTTTCAGAGCTCAAGATCCGCAAACCGAGATGAATGTCCTTCAGTAAGCCCCCATCCAAGAACAACGCAATTGTTCTGCCCCACGCCCAGGCACGATCTTGATCGCCATATCCAAACATGGCCAAAACGGGATTCGAGTGTCTATCGAATACGCTTGGCCCATAAGTTTAGCAGTTTTTGCTATGCCCTGCGAGCTCCAGGGGTCCCAGGGCTTCCTCCAGACACGGCGTGGGGGAGCATGTTACTATGAACGGCCTGCGCTAATTGTTTTTGCCCCGCTTACGACGCATCCACCTGCGCCTTTGCAACTACCGCGTGCTCATACCACCGCCCCCGCCCCCCTGTTCGCGCGCCTCCCTTCCCTCCCCTCGCCTTTCCTGCCTCCCTTCGTTGTAGCGTTCCTCCCTGGAAGTCCGCCGCCATGCACGGAGTAGGCGTGTCCTCGAGTCCCTCGCCCAATCCCCCAATCCTCCATCCTGAGGATTCTTCCAGGGCTCGGATCCGGAGGCTCCCAGGTTTTGGCGCGCCCACTTTTTGCGGAGCGGCGCTGCCCTGACCTCCTCCACTCCTGACCTAGCCTTGGGCGCGAGCCTCGCAGGTCTGCGCAGGCCCGCCCGCGCACCGAGCGAGGCCGCGACACTCTTCGCAAGCGCGTTCAGGGACTTGTCCACCACAAAGAGTTCGACCGTGGAAATGTGATCGCCCAGTGCGCATGGCGCGCAGCACTCGTCTCCAAGAACGGATCCACCAGGCAACTGCACCGGTGGAACTTCTCCAATCGCATGAGGCGGGTTGCTCAAATCCGTCGCGGCCGCGAAATACGCTGTCTGAAATGAAACAGCTGCTCTCAGACACCAGGCCAATTTCGACTTGCGCGGAGTTAAACCCTTACCCGCAAACTCGTAGGAAGCCCTCATCATGAGCGCCCCCAGCTCGGCAGCACGAACGCAACGCCTTGCGGCGGGCCCTGGATGAAGACATCCCCCACTAGGAGACCATTTGTCCAAATTAGAACGAAGTACTTACAGACACCTCCCGATTCTCGCCCTCTCTCAGTAGCCGAAGCTGGCCCTACATAGATGGCCCAGCCGAGACGCGCCATATTCTCGACCATGTCTGCATACTTGGTCTGCAGAGCTGAGATGGGGAAGAAGGAGCGTTTTCAAACGCCGACGACCACGATGAGGCATTCACTGTGGCAATGGAAAAACACTGGGCGTCCTTGTACTTCTTGCTTCCCTGCCCCCGTCCTCTAGACAGACCAGGTCCCAAGGAAGACGGGCAGAAAGAACTGTGCACGCGTGAATGAGACACCGCGTGAACGCTGCCCCTGCTAGGAACCAGGATCCCCCTGCCCACCTTCACCGACGCCTTCGTCGAGCGATGTTCTGGGCACTGGGCACCTGGCGCGGTGAAGATAGCCTGGGCCTTAGATCTGACCGATGATGTAGATGCACCTGATGCCGGTGCCGACATCGCTGATGACAGTACTGCTGGAACTTGCCAAGCAGCAGCTCCACTACTATCCTGAGACTTCCCCTGTTCGTGTTCGCCGCCGCCAGCAACCTGTCCATCTTTCGTCATGCGTTTCTTACCTTCCAACCGTTTTCTGTTCATCAGGTTCCCTTTCGAGCTCTTCTGCTCTTTGTTTGGCTATGCTCAACACATGTTGCCTGCTCCGTGAACGCTGTTTTGAAATCTGGAATTATTTTCTCTGCATCTCCAGCTCGCCTGGCGACATATCCACATACTCATTGAGGCCAAAAAATGTTCCTGGGTTGAATTCCATGAAGTCCACCTTGCTGCCCACGATGCCCCCGAAAGAAACCACACCAGCAGAGCCTGCCGAATACTGCTGAGACTGGCCCTGGGCACCAGCGTGGAGGTCGTGAGCAGCTTGCTTGTGGAGGGTCTCTTGCTCGTCCAGTCGAGTAGTAGGCTGCTTGATCTGGCCCACGCGGTACTCCAGTTGGGATGCCGCACGAGTGTGCGCCTCGAGCTGATGATTTGGCTGGCGCTCCAAGTGATGGATCTGTTTGTGGGCCATGTCTGCTTCATCTGTGAAAGGAAAACAGAGTTCCCGACTCTTGCCACGAATGATGTGGAGCTGGGCATTGTACTTCTCCACGTCTGCGGTCTGTCCAGCCTTTTGTAGATTGCCACGAACTGCACGGGGGTCCGCCTCGCGCAAGTCACCGCCGCACCCATTGTCCGTGACGAAAGGGGATGCTGCCTGAGATTCCGAAATAATTGCCGGACTTCTTCTTGCTACCCGAAGTGCGTTCGGAGTGTGGCTTGAGCTCGAACACTGGTACATCACTCCACGGGGTTCGACAATGTTTGCACCAAAGCCGGTGTTTCTCATTGCCGGCGCAGCCACGCTTTGAACATTTCGAACCACCAGGAGGCCTGGGTGCAGGAGCCATGACGGTGCTGGGCACGCGCGCACGAGAGTCGCAGTTACTGAAAGAGGTGGGGCCGCTGATCCCCAATGCCAGATACTCGAGAAAGGTCGGGCCTGCGGCACGGCTGCGGACAAGCTCGAAGCCTCGCGTCACAAGTGTCGAACTTGAGCCAAAATGTTTGCGGACCTCCTCCTCCTCCTACTCCTCATCTCCCTCTTCCTTGTCCTCCTCCCCCTCATGGTGGCCCCCTCTGATGACCCTCTTCCTGAATGGTGTTCGGATTGCATGCGTCCGGGCCCGGCTGCGCCTGAGTTCGTCCGCCTCGCCCGCGACCGCAGCCGCCGCCTCCGGGAGGGACCAAGGAGCATCACGGCGCGCGGACAACGCACACGGAGAGATCCAACGGCACACATGGGGGAACGGACGAGGGAGGTGCTCCGACGGAAGTGCTCCGAGAGCAGGGACGATCAGCAGAGGCGAAAAAACGGGGGTGGACAGGAGATGGAGGATGAGATGGAGGAGGAGAGGGGGCATCAGGATTAGGTCGAAGATGATCAGGATGAGCAGGGAGGATGTTGAGGCCAAGGAGGATGAGGCGGAGACGAGAGCGAGGTGGAAGAGGGAGGAGGAGGGTTGCAAAGGGAGGAGGAAGAGGAGAATGAGGAGAAGGACGACGACCAGGAGGAAGGACGACGAGGTCGAGCAGCGTGGGGGAGCACAGGACCAGGAGCGTGAGGGAAGTCCAACGAAAGAGGCGGAGCATTCCCACGTTTTCCCGACGCTGGATCTCTTGCCCCCGATGGTGCTTCCCGCTCCCCCGTGTCCTCCCGATTGACGCCCTTCCCCCCGAATGGCGCCATCCCCTTTCCGAACCGCGCATCGAAGAGTAGAACGACAAAAGGCAGAGAACGGGCGGAGGAGTAAATCTGTCACGCGGTAAACCATCAAGCAACAGCTTACGCTTGACCCAACTGCACGCGACAGCCTTCGGTGCGCCAAGCTCTGCCACCCAGCGGGCCGAGCTGGCAGTGGCGGGACGTGCCGCAGGCACTTCGACATGCTGTGTCACTCGGGCGACGCACAGACGCTGTGATTTGATGTGCCACAAGCTGGCGCTGAGCAACAGAACGCCTGAACACGTACAAGTGCTGAGGTGCCACGTGGGAACGAATGCAGACCTCCTCATCAGCCAGCGGCGCGGCGCATCGAGCCCGGCAATACGGACTTGACTACAGGGTCCACGAATAACCCCAGGCAGCGTTACAACGAGCGAAAAGCCCTGGATCATACTGCAAGCCCAATCGCCATCAGCAGCCACCCGCCTCCTGCAGAGGAAGGAAGAGGGAAAACCACTCGACTCTTGAAGTAGGAAGGCGCTGAAAGTAGATTGGAATCTGGGAATCCAAAAATACCTACTTCCAACGACCGATGGGTAGCCTGCTGCCGCTGCCGTGGCCGAGCTGTTTGGTGATGCGGTGTCGAACTGGGCGCCCATGGCTTCGCACGTGGCGGGGCTCAGACTGCTGTCCGAGCTTGGAGGGTCGCCCAGAAATGGCCAGAGTCACGGCTGGCATAGTCGGGTCGGGCGAAAAGGGGGGATAGCAAAGGGGGGGGGGGTGAGAATCAGCTCACGTAGCTGATTTCCCCGGCGCCTCCCGGCGCCGGAGGCGCCCCATGTATCGAGGAATGGGCCCCTCGGTGAGGCCGAACCCAGCTGCATGCAGCAAATTTCGTAACCCCCCCTTTCCCAATCCCCCCCTTTCGCCCGGCCCGAATGTGTCTCTCAGCCTGGAACGTGGGACTCAGAACCACGAATACATACTTTTTATCTCCGCCCTCGAATCACCTCCCATGCCCGCAGGAAGCTCCCGTTCGCCCTCCCCACCCATCGGCGTAGAGGCGGCGCAGTGGGAGGAGGAGGGAGGGCCAGGGAAGGGGGAGGTGGGAAGGAGGGGGCCAGGGAAAGGCGGGGGAGGGGAAACGAGGGGGGGCGACGACGACTAGGAAGCACTCGGATCCAGAAGTGTGGCCCGCGCTGGGGCGAGATCGCCATGCTGAACGACGGGGGGTCACGCGCCGACCCCGAGATGAGGCCAGCGCGGCAGCGAGAGCACCACGGTGAAGCATCAACAGCGTTCCGACCGAAAACGACATCGGATGAAGCACCATGCTTTGAAGTCCGATGCGCAGTCGCACAAGCGCTGAGGGAGAGAAGCGCTCCCCTTCGCAGAGAACCCGGGGAGAGAGGAGGGTGCCGTACATGGACAGTGCGTTCGAACCCTGTGGCCCAAGATGCCCCCAAGATCCCAGACCCCCAAATTGAAGGGGGCGCCACGCGGGAGGGGGCGTGAGTGGCACAAGTATTCGAACCCCAAGAAACACCACCCTGCCGAGCTCAGCATTGACTTCGGGGGCGGAAGGGATGCTCAGAGATCCCCTCGAACATGTCCGGGTTCGAGTATCTTGTCCATCTATTGTAGTGCTCACGGTGCGACAGACAAACAGGCAGACAGGCAGGCAGGCAGGCAGGCAGGCAAGCAGGCAGACAGACAGACAGACAGACAGAGGCCTGGTCAAACCACGAGGGTTGGCCCGTGAACTGGCGGGGCTACAGCGCACAGGGCTAAGCGTGCACGTTCGCATGGGAGAGCAAGCGTTGTGCCTCCAAGAGGGGGAGGAGAGAGGAGGAGGAGGAGGAGGAGGAGGAGGAGGAGGAGGAGGAGGAGGAGGAGGAGAGAGGAGGAGGAGGAGGAGGAGGAGGAGGAGGAGGAGGAGGAGGAGGAGGAGGAGGAGGAGGAGGAGGAGGGGAGGAGGAGGGGAGGGGAGGGAGCGGTCCTCACGCGTGAATGCAACACTCGACGGAAAGGAAGCGGCGGGCGGGCGCCGGGGGCCCCTCCTGGAGCTCGCCGCGCAGCCCTTCGGCCTGCTCGCGGGCCCCCGCGGTCTCCTGCAGCTGGCGCCTCGCGGCGTGCTTGGGAGGGGGGGGGGCGGGGAGGGGAGGGGGGCCCGCCTGGCTCTCGCGGGGACACCAGAGGAGGGGAGGAGGGAGGAGGAGAGGAGGGGGAGGAGGAGGAGGAGGATGGAGGAGGAGAGGAGAGGGAGGAGGAGGAGACGAGGAGGAGGAGGAGAGGAGGAGGAGGGGAGGAGGAGGAGGAGGGAGGGGGAGGAGGAGGAGGAGGAGGTGGAGGAGTGGGAGGAGGACGATGAGGAGGCGGAGGAGGAGGAGGAGGAGGAGGAGAAGGAGGAGGAGGAAGCGGAGGAGAAGTAAGTAAGTGAGACACGACTGTGGGCCTGCAACTCTCGTCCTGTCTCTGGATGGCGGCAGCGGGCAGCGGCAGCAAGGGGCAGGGAGTCCTGCCAGTGCACCTGCGCTCGACGCGCGCCGAATATGTAGAGAAGGGTTCGAATCATGGGGCTACGATTTAAAACTTCAAAGTCTTTCAAACCAGAGAGTGCACCCAAGGAAGGAGGAGAAGGACGAAGGCGGGGATGGGGAGCGCGTCACCGTCGTCACCTCCGCCGCCGGTCGTCCATCCCGCAGGCACAAAGTGGGGTGTCCTTGTGCCCCTCCAAGTTCTCTGCGTCGAGGGTTGTGCATGCACGCCCAGGAAGGAGGCATTCCTCCTTTCCTCCTCCTCCCCCCCCAGCTCCAGGCCCGAAGAGGGAACTCCTCAGGAAGCACGCCAGACACCCGCACTGTTTCGTCAGCGGGTGCCATCGAGGAGGCGCCCCGCTTGCCTTGCCTGGTGGGGGCTGATGTCTGGCTCTCATCGCGTCTCTTCGCATCCTCGGCTTCAATCCTCTCCAACGAAGCACGGGACAGAATGGAGCATACAATGCAGGAAACGAGGAACTCCGAATGTTTCTTGCTGGGGGGAACTCGAAGTCGTACTCATTCGGGGAGTCCGGTAATGACGACGAGGAGCGCAGAAAAGTGGGTGGTGGAAGTGCCGACGTCGGCGGCTCAACACGCTGACGGCTCGTGTGGGTGTGCGGTCGGATTGGGACCAACTGTAGAGCAGAATAGTCTAGTCCAGACATGGCCGTCCCCTCCGACGGCGCCAGGAAGGACCCTTGGGAGTACGGCTAACATGCAGAACTGTGGATTTGTGTGCGGGAGTGTGCGATTGTGGTGAACTACCCGCCCCGGCCCTTGAAGAGGGCACATCGGGCTCGCTACTACAAACCCGTAGATATCCTTACGCAGTAGCTGTCTGCAGTGCTCTCGTAGTTACCACTGCGGTGCTTGCCTGTGGTACACTGTGACCTGAATGACGGCATGGGAACATGCCACGACGGCAAGGCGTGCATTACACGGGACACACCTATGGTTGGGACTACGACCAGGGAACGGTTACCACGGGGGGCTGGGGCTAGGGTCTGCCAACTGATGGAGACACATGTTGTGTGCGGCGAAAACCTTTATGGGGTCTGGAACCAGAACCCACCTTCTTTGGGATGACGGGGAGCTCGCGGATCGACTACGTGTTTGTACCGCAAGGGTTTAGCAATCAGATCAGCGTATGCCGACCTCACGAGCATCTGGGTGCCAGGATACCTGCCGATTGTGCGTGCTGCGGTATGACAAGCATGGGGCGCACCATGAGGCTATGCAATCGTGCAGGGGGGAACGGTGGAATCAGGACGTTATGATGCAGGCGGTACGGGGGAATATGGATCGAGACTTATCCTTGGAGCAGGTGAATCGGAAACTGGATGGCACAACTCACTTAGCCTGGATGAGAGATCTGGCCTCGAGATATGAGATCTTTGAACATGTGGATGGAGGGCTGTTGTGTAGGGCTGGACAGCGCGTTTCGGGCGGAATCAAAACGGTAACCGTATACGCGACGACGCACGTTGGTGTAGCACCCACGGTCTGCTACAAGTCACTCTGGGCGATTTGGTAGGGATCAGCAGCGGTCCGAGTGCTGATCCCTACCAAAAGTGCGGTCTGGCAAAAGGCAACTGGGGCAGAGAGGCTACACTCTTCGCACCGCTCAGCATGTCTTCATCGACGGCCACAGTTGGCCCGAGGGGCTGATCGTTGGGGGGACAAGGCGGAGGCTTCGCAGGAGGTGACGGCCCTAGATGCTGAACTCAAGCAATTATTCAAGGAGTTGGTCTTGCTACGACGGTCACAGACGCATGAGCGAAGTGCTGCCTTGCTGCAGGAGGCGAGAGAGCGGTGGACGGGCGGGTATATCTCTATGAAGGTATGAGGTTCGCCAGGCGTGCGGCCGTGTGCCGATACGTCGCCAGGAAGAGGGGCGGGCGCCTGGTCAGAGGCCTGATCCCAGCCAGAGCTGAATGGCTCGGGGAGTGGTCGCTCTCGGGACCTAAAAGGGGGGGTGCAAGTGCAAGCGTGCGCGCGGGATGACTGGAGGAGCAAACTAGAAGCTATGAGGGGTGGTTACGGCATTACGGAGTCAGAGGGTACGACGGAGGTGGTGAAGGAGGTTCTCGACGCGATCCGACGCTACGTGCGACGAGCGGCGAAACGAGGAGCGGTCCCAGCGGGAACTGCCCCTTTGGAACTGGGGCCGCAGCTGCTTCGACCGAATACAGAGTACGACAACGCAGGGTGGTGTGCAACACAAATACGATGCCTCAGACTGAGCCTCAGGCACCAATGCTCTGGTTCTTGACGGAATTGGGCGTGAACAAAATCTGTGAGCACCGCGGAATCCCACTTTACTGGAATAAATCGAAAACAATTAGACTGCATAGATCTTTGGTACGAAGGCCAAGGGCAAACGGGTTACCCACGTCCTCCCGACTGTGGGCAGGACTTGCGTTGCCAATCAGCTGCGGGGCACGGCCGACGGTGCAGGACCACGCGCTTGTCACGGAGGAGCGACGGGACGAGTCCATATTCACAACGCACGTGACGAGTTGGAGACTACGCCTCACGGGGCGCACGCACTGCATGGCTCGCAAAGATCTTCGCAACGCGTTCTCGAGTTCCGTGGGGGCGGAGCTCGATGCGACGGGATCTTCACGCGCGCCCAGAAACGACGCCGACCTGTGCAGACAGCGCTACAAGCCCGTGATCATTGATTTGGAGCCGTGCGATGGCCCGTTCTGTGCACGTCCGCAGTATGGAGGCGCCATGGGGGGCCCCTGCACGGAGCAGGGCGGCCCGGGGACCTGCAGACGAGCCACGACGTCTTGGGGGCACCCACGTTTTACAGGCGGCCGATCCGCCAAAGTGTTCATAGCGAGCTGGCAACAACTATCGGTAGACCTTAGCTGAATCAAAAAACGCCGACACCTTCAAAAAGGTGGTGGTGGCAGATCCTGGGAGCACGCTTTCGAAATTCTACGCATACCTGAGTGGGTGGGCAAGACTCTAGACGATCATCTGGGGAGGTACGGCTATGACCAGTACGCTGATAAACAATTGCTGCCTTACGTTGCGAATCAGCCTAGGCCTGCGGAGACGATCCTTCGAGAGAGAGCGTTGCAAAAGTCCCTGCCACGCGGGTACTTGGGCCCTTCCGTGCGAGGTGCGCGAGTGAGTGAGGTACTTGGTCCCTTACGTTAACACGCGATCGACGGAACATCACAAGGTCACTCGTAGGCGCGACGCTGCCAGGCAGACATTCTTCCGTCTGGGCGGGATCAGGTCTCCAAGCCTGCTATGCACATGGCGCAGGGAGCCCTTTAGTAGACCTCCCCTTAGTGACAAACTTCCCTTTAGTAGACCTCCCCTTAGTGACAACGGCCTGGGACCGAAACCGGCGGAGCTGGACCCGCAAAAATGACGGCCGCGACGCCCCCTCGCGAACCGAAAACGGCCAATTCCTTGATCGACGTGTCAGGGTAGGAGGTCTGTCCACCCCCGATCCCCCAAGGCTTAGTGGGCAACGCTCCTTTGAGCGGGGGAAGGCATGTTGTGGTGACGGAGTCGGACACGCCAGGCCGGACGGCTGCCTGGCGGCCCGTTGCAGGACTGCCATGCCCGGTGCGGCGTGTGCCGAAGCGTCGACGGGACACGCGACGATCCTGCCCACCTCGCAGGTGCTGCAGTATTGGAGTCGATCGAGCAAGTGCACGAGCCAATCGGCTGTCAGTCCTGTGAGCTGCCTGCGCCGACGATATTCGCCCGCGTGGCAGCGCGGCCGCCGCGACTCTTACACGGCCAGTATTGGAGACTGTCGGGCCGCAGGGTGGACCTCCGCAGCAGGAGCCTCACATAGTACCAGTCCTGGGCGCGAGCTCCGACGGCACATGTTCATCCCCTGTGCTTGCACTCTTTAGGACCTTGCGGGGAGAGCATGAATCGACACAATCGCAGCTCAGAGCGGGGAGGCCTTCAGGATCGGCATGGCCTTGGCTGTGCCAGATGGAATCCGACTTGCGGGCTGCGGCCACGATCAATGACTTTCGCTGCCACGATGCAATTCCCAAGGATTTCACGGTCTTTGCAGATGTTAAACGGTCTTCAGAGCTCACGAGACTGAATTTCGGACGGTTACAAGCAGCCTTGAATACAGTGCAAATCCCCCCGCCTGTGAAGCTGGTGGGTACGGGACAGACGTGTGTTGATGAGGTGGACGGTGCACATGCGACGACGGAGGGTATGAATGACGACGGGGCAGACAGGTGTGAGATACGGACGGATGAGAGGGAAATGCGGGGCACGTTTCTCAACGCAGACCACCGTCGTCAATCATATGCCCCAACAGCATCATCTCCACAACCTTGCACATGTGCTGACCCCGACGATTATACGCATTGGATTCCGACAGGTGTTTAAGACTCGGATCACGGCTGCGCGTCACTTGGAGGGGTCTACCAGAAGGATTCGATGTGTCAAGGGTACCCTGGGGGCCACACCACGGAGCAAGGAGATCCTCCTGGAGCCCCAGTCGCTGAAGTGCCCGATTTGCTGCCACGAAGCGGAGGACCTCCCCGCCAACTGTAGCCATCTCCTCAACCATCTCCCGACGACGTTGAGGCAGGCGCCTGCCGTACTACCCACCCGAACCTTCGGACGAGATGCCGCTGGCGATGCCAACGTGGTCCGGCCCTTCGACCTAGGCGGCTGGTGAGGGAGCCGCGGCGGGCTCTGGCGAGGGCACCGCGTCCAAGAAGGGCAAGAAAGGGCGACATGGACGGCCCGATGAAGTTGCTCCAGGCCATCGGGCGCTGAGTGCTCGCGCAGGCTCGAGCCGTGGCCGACCTCATGGCGGAGGTGTACGTGACTTTCTTGGTGCCCCTCTCGCGGGGGCTCCCAGCGGCCATGCAGGCGGCGGGCAAGAAGTACGAGGAGGGCAGCAAAGCCATGCGCATGGCCAACGCGTCGCAGGACCAGTTCAAGAACCGCGGCCCTCGCCGCATCCACATGTTCCTGGCGGCGTTCCAGTGCGTGGCGGAGCGTACGGCAGCGGAGGGCAAGGAGGAGGAGAAGGTCAATTCGCCCGAGGCCAAGCAGGTGTGGGAGAACGTGATCCCCTCGAGCGACATCGGCGACATCGCGGAGGCGGTGCTCTACTTCAGGCTGAAGTCCGCAAGCATCGGAGGATCGCAAACATGGATCAGCGATCCATGGATTTGGCGCGCGGTCGCCAAATCCATGGATCGGGGGAGGTGCCCTCCCCGAAATGCGGCCGGCGCCGCCTCTGTCGGCGGCGGCAATCCGCGACTCTTCATGGCAACGGGACCCGTCGCTCATCCGCGCCCCCTTAATCCATGTTTGCGATCGCCTGAAAAGAGGAGGGGAAGGAGCCCAAGTGCCTGGCAATCACGGCCTTCCGCAAGGAGACGAAGCTGGCCGTGGGCTGCCGCCCGTGCATCAGGAAAATCATCGAGGACGAGGGCGGGACGGCGGTGCACGGCGCGGCCCCTGGGGGCCCTCTGTCTCGAGAGAGAGATCACGAGGGCGCGGAACAACGCGAAGTAAACCATCCCGATGTACCCCCTCGAGTGGGAGGCACTGGCGTGCGACGAGGGCGACCTTCTAGCAGCTCGCAGGGGGATTGATTGGCGGAGCTGGAGGCGCGAGGCAGTACCAGCGCAGAGGCTGCGGCGATGGCCAAGATCAGATCGGGGGCCCCGCTCATCAGCAGCTGTGCCGACGAGAGCTCGCCTGCTCATCCGCTCCTGCCTGGCCACGGCCGAGGCTCCCAGGGAAGATGCGGGGGACGCGGGCGCCGAGGAGGGCGAGGCTCCTCTCGCGCCCGAGCGGGCGCCTCCTGCAGGGTCGCGTGCCTCAGGGGGGGCTGCTCGCGGGCCGATGCCCCCGTAGGAAACGCCGGCAGGGCAAGCAGCGTGTGCTGTTCCTCCACGCTGGGGTGCGACACCCCGTCTCGGGATCCAGCTGCATGGGGCGAACTGACGGTGCGAACTGCGTGCGCGGCGGCGTAGTCGATGCAGGATGCCAGTGGGTTCCCCGAGGTTCGCTCCTCCTCCTCCTCCTCCTCCTCCTCCTCCTCCGACTCCGACTCCGCCTCCTCCGACTCCTCTTACCGCTCGCCTGGCTGCGAAGGAGGGCCCAAGGAAGGCCTCCGAAAACAAGGGATTCCCGCGGCCGGCTCCGTCAGAGATCTGGCCGCCACGGACCGAGGTTTCGCCCACCCGCGACCCCGCAGAAGTCGACCCCAGGAGCCGCCCCCTCGCTCAGGCCACGCCTGGGGACCAGGTGGTCGACGATCAGACACGGGCCTCACGCGAGCTGACGCAGCGACCCTGCGCGGTGGTCTGCGCGGGCCACGAGCGCGGACAGCCAATATGGAGACGCAGGCGCGCTCACGCGAGACCCTGCGCGAGCAGCTTGCGCGCGAAGGTCGGCGCAGTCGAACCCTCTTCCTCCTCCTCCCTCCTCCTGCCTCCTCCCCCTCCTCCTCCTCCTCCTCCCAGTTCTCCTCCTCCTCCTCCTCCTCCTCCTCCTCCCAGTTCTCCTCCTCCTCCTCCTCCTCCTCCTCCTCCTCCTCCTCCTCCTCCCAGTTCTCCTCCTCCTCCTCCTCCTCCTCTCCTCCTCCTCCTCCTCCTCCTCCCCCATCCTCCCTCCTGCCCTGCGCTCCGGCGCGCGCCCTCCTCCTGCCACCGCAGCCCGTCTCCGCGGGCCCCCGAGCCTGCGCTGGCACCACCCTCGCCGCACGGCGCGCGGGGGGGCGGCCGGCGCCGAGCCCCCCCCGACCTCCAGGGGAGCCAGTTTCCACTCCCACCAACGCCTGGCATCGCTCGGACGTCCATTCCCTGTGCTTTTTTTCGGTTTCGTGCGCGGTTTTTTCTCGCAGAATGATCCAGGATGCTCCTCGATGGTCCTCGCCGAAGGAATGATGCACACGTCCGAGCGATGCCAAGCCAACGAGGGAGCGAGCGCGCGATGACGGTCCAGCAGGGCCGGCCCTGGGAGGGCGGCGCGGGGGAGCCGGAGCCCTCGGGGGTCGGCCTGGGGCTGGCGGTCGATCTGGACGAAAGTGGTGTGAAACGTAGAGGTGTTGCGCGTCTGGTGCACTCTGGAGTCCAATGGGTGGAGGTGAGAGTGACAGGTCGGATAGATGGGCGTGGAAGTGGAAAATCGGATGCTGGAGGTCGATGGGTGGAGGTGGAGATGGAAAGTCGGATGCTGAAGGCTGGAGGTCGGAGTGCGGAGGGGAGGGAGGGAGGGAAGCCACCATCCGTCCTACAACCCGAGGCACCCTCCTCCTCCTCCTCCTCCTCCTCCTCCCCATCCTCCTCCCCATCCTGCTCCTCCTCCTCCTCCTCCTCCTCCTCGTCCGCATCCCTCCACTCCTTTTCCTCCTCAATGACTTCTCCCTGTCGCACCCCGAGGCTGGTCGATAGGGCGGGCCGGGCGTTTCGCCTGAAACTTCCTCACCATTGATGCCCCTGAAGCTTACACATTGGCAACACTTTCAGCAATGGACGGCGGGTCGTTTTCAACATGTGTTTCTCGCATTAGCGCCGCGCGCACTCGCTGTAAACATTACAAGATGAGGGCGGGCCGTGTTTAAAATGTTGCTTTCGCCTAAGTGACGCGCACACTCGCCTGAAAACTGTGCAAGATGTTTACAGATTGAAGGCCGCATTATCGCCGCGCACAATCGTCCTAAAATGTTGCAAGAGTTTCACGGGTTGGCAGCGGGTCGTTTTCAACATGTGGCTCTCGCTTTAGCGCCGAGCACACTCGTGTTAAAGTCAGCAAAAGCTTCACGGATTAAAATCGGTTAATTTTCAAACTGTGGCTCTCGCCTTCGCGCCGCACACAGTTGTCTGGAACGTTTGCAATACTTTAGCGGATTGAGGACGGGTCGTTTTCAAAATGTGGTTATCGCTTCAACACCGCGCACATTCGCGTTAAAAATTTGCAAGAATTTGTCGGATTGGGGCGGGCGGTTTTCAAAGTGCGGCTCTCGCCTTAGTGCCGCGCACATTCATTCCAAAAGTTTTCAAGATCGTCCTGGGCTGGGGGCGGCTCCTTTTCAATATGTGGCTCTCGCCTTGGCGCCGCGCACACTCGTGTTAAACATTTGCAAGAGTTTCATTGGTTCTCATGGCTAATGTACCAGAAAAGGTAATTTGGACCGGTTCATGTTTGTCAGGGCGCAACAGCTACGTTGATTCTCGGTGTTGAAGTCGCAGGATGGCGTTCTGGCGCGATTCGGAATCGCCAAGACCTCACAATCAGGAAAATTCGTGGCGCTGAAATCCTGAAGATTGTCCCCCAACGGGGCAATTATGAAGAGGGAGGTTGGAAGGAGGGTGTACTCCCACGTCGTTGAGGAGTCTTGCGGTTACCATGGTCCTCCTCCTCCTCCTCCTTCCACCTCCTCCCCCTCCCCAGGGCAGGCACGGCCTCAGGTTCAGGTTCTCCTGCATGATGAGCCATGCCTCCTCGCGCAGCATCGCGGACTCCCGCTGCGCCGCGGCAGCCTCCTCCCGCAGCCTGGGGCGCAGACCGCGCACGCGCGGATTGATGCTTGAATCCTGGCGTGCTTCCTTGATTTCGGCATCACGGATGGGGCCACGTCCGGGCCCCAGGCTCAGGACCAGCAGACATGGGCCCAGGACGGCGAACTGCCCCCGGGGCAGTGGCCGAGGCCTCTGGGCACCGCGGGTTGAACCACATCAATCCGTCGGACCTCCAGGACGCGCCCGGTGCGGGTGGCCGCCGCCCTCGCCGCTGTTCTGGAGCACGCTGCCCCGCTGCTGCCGCTGCCAGGGCACCCTCTCTGCCGGCTGAGCAGGGGGAAACGGGAGGGGAGGTGTGGGAACACGAGGGGCGAGGGCAGGATCGGTCCACATCGAATCGAGAACTCGGATCGAATCGGAATGTGCGCTGGATCGGACCGCAGCGAAACGGAGCCGAAATCACAACAGCGCCATGTGAGCATCGGGCCGCATCGGATCGCTGGGAATCGAAATCGAATCCGATCGAACCAGCTGATATCAGCCAGCGTTGACTCCAAATAGATAGTGGGTGATTATGGTGATGATGTGCATAGGCATGGGCATAGGCATAGGCGTAGGCATAGGAGTTAGGTGGGAGGCATAGGCATAGCCTTAGGAATTTGGGGGGGCATCGGAATCAGGGTGGGGGGCGGGCAACGGACCAATTCGTAAGGTTTGAATTCGCACTCCTATAGGGCAAGCCTACTTGGAGAAAATCGAGATCGAATCGGATCGGTCGGATTGAAATGGGCTCTGGTCGGGGGTTGCTAGAAGTACCCCTGGCCCAAGTTGCCCCCAGCCTTTCGATCCATCCTGGAGCCCCTGGGGTCCTCTGGGGCTCGTGAGGGGTGCCCCGGAGGCCTCCTGGGCCACCCCGAGAATCCTGGGGGCACCTTGAGCCCGGGGTGCTTCTGGCAACACCCGACCCTGGCCATCGCTCGGACGTCCACTTCCTGTGTTTTTTTCGGTTTCGTGCGTGGTTTTTTCGTCCAGTGATCAAAGATGCTCCTCGATGGTCCTCGCCGAAGAAAAAATGCACACGTCCGAGCGATGCTAAGGGCAAGACGGGGGCGGAGGCCGGCACGCCTCGCGAGGCTCTCGTCCAGAGCGCCGTCGCCGCACCCCCTCGCCGCGGGGGCGGCGTCGGGCGTCCTTGCCGCGAGGGGCGGCGGAGGGCGGCGTCGGGCCGCTCGTCGCGCAGAAGCAGCAGCTGGCACTGGCTCGGGCCTCCCAGCCAGCCCGCTCCCCTTTTTTGTCCGCCGGCTCCTCCCCATTCCACCTCGTGCCCCTCCCCCTTTCTCGCTGCTGTCCCCCTGCCCCCTCCCTGGGCCCTCCCCTTCCCCCTCCTCCCCCCTTTCCCCCCCCAGATCGCTGTTCACCCCTGCTCCTTCCTCCTCGTCCTCCTCGCTTTGTTTCTCCATCCTCATCTTCGTTCCTCGCTCCTCGCTCCTCCCTGCTCTTCCTCCTCGTTGCTGTTGCTGCTCCTCCTCCTCCTCCGCCTCCTCCTCCTCTTCCGTTTCGTCCTCCTCCTCCTCCTCCTCTTCCTCCTCCTCCGCTTCCTCGTCATTATCCTGTTCCTCGTTCTCCACCTCGTCCTTCCTCTTCATCCCCCGCCCCTTCTCTTCCCCCTCCTGCTCCATTGTCCACGTCCTCGGCCTTCGTCCCCCCTCCTTGCGGGCCGCACTGTGGCGACGTCGGGTCCCGTCTGCATGGCAGGCGCAGGCCATGCGGGGCGGTTTCCAATCCACGCCAGGGTGCGAAAGCGCCCCGAGGGCCAGAGCAGCCACTGCAGGTCCGACGTGCAAGGCCGCCTCCCGGCTCCTCTCTCCACCTGTCGTTTCCCTCCCCCCCGCCCCCATCCCCCCCCCCCTTCCCCCCCATTCCCCCCTCCTTCCTGCCCCCTCCCCTCCCCTTTCCCCTGTCCCCCCCCCCCCCGCCCCTGGCCGCAGTGTCCTGGCCGCCGCACTCTGCGGAGGGCGTTCGCCCTCCCGCGGCTGCGCCGGGGCCACCTGACGGACCCACCAGACGGCGGCGGCGGCGGGCTGGCGGCGGCATCATTGGGCCTCCACGGGGAGGGGCAAGCTAGATGCGCTTGCGCTGCATTTGACATCCGATCCTTCCCTCCCATCCTTCGGAAAAAAGGTTCCCATTGTGTTGATGTGTTGCTTCTCCGCGGAAGCGCGTCATGGCCTGATCTGTGGGACCTGTGTGGTAGGTGGGTGGGAAATGTGGATTCGTGCGCTGTAGGACCAGTGGGAGATTTGTGGCTTGTGGGACCTGTGGAACCTGTGGAACAGGCGGAAACTGTGAACCTGTGAGACCTGCGGGATGTGTGGGACCCGTGCGACCTGGGGGACCTATGTGGCCTGTGGGGCATGTGAAACCTGCAACAGTTGTGGGGCATGCATGACCTGTGGGCGAGACCTGCAAGAGACGCGGGACATGTCGCACCCGCGGGACGTGTGGGGCCTCTGTGGGACATGTGATATCTGCGACACCAGCGGGCCTTGTGGGACATGAAAACATCTAGAGTGCCATGTTGAGCGACGGAGCAACGCATCGACCCGAAAATGAGGCACACGCTGCAGCAGGAACACCGTTTTGAAAACCAGAAGACGCAGGATGGTAAAGTACCAGGGGGACACAGACTACTCGACGCGGATATCCCCACATGTGCATCTCATACTCCTGTCACGTCTCGCCGAAGAACTCTGTCTATGAGCACCTGGGTGTGAGAGCGAGTCCGCGAAGACGACAGGCGCGGCAACGGCGACAAAGACGAGACGACAGCGACGACTTCAGTGACGTCCTGCTCCGCTGGACATTTCTCAGGAAGAGCGAGGGGGACTTCCGCTTGCCGTTCTCCCCGCGGCAGCTCAAGCAAGCGCGCATGGCGTTGCTACGCCCGCTCTCAGGCATGCGGGGTGCCCAAGTGCCACGCCGGTTATATCGCGGCAGCCACTTGCGTGTGAGCCCTAGTGCGAGTGAATATGAGCTTGGGTGATCTGAGGGTGAACGAATCGAAATGCGAGTGGATCCAGGTACGATTGAGCCTGAGGGTGAGTGAGTATGGATATGGCCAGTCTGGATACGAGTGGGTCTGAATATGAGTGAGTCTGAGTGCGAGAGAACCGAAGTGTGAGCGGGTCTGCGTGCGAGTGAGTCTGAGTGTGGGTGCGTCTGAGTTTGAGCGGCACGAATGCGGTTCTGATTATGAGCTAGCCCCAGTGCGGGGTAGTCTGAGTATGAGTGAATATGAGGGTGGGTGAGTCTGAGTGTGAATGAGTTTGAGCGAGTCTGAATATGGAATCCGCCGACCCTGTCGGCGTGTGGCGCTACCCGCCCTTTCCCTGAGCCCTCCCCCTCCTCCTCAAGCGTGCCAACCAAAACGAAAATGAGCAACGTCGTAAATGCGTCGACGGGAAGCCCCTTCCCTTTGATCCCTTCCCCGCCGAGGGGTGGGGGGGTCCCGGGGGGGGTCCCGGGGGAGGGTCGCCACCCAGATACGCATCCCCCGTTTGCGCCTTTTACAGAGGGGCCCTCTGTAGATGCGCTGGAGGAGGGGGGTCGCCATGACGGATCCGCAAGAGCGCCCCTAGACGGCCCCAGCCCCACAAGACAGCCCAAGAACCCTTAAGGACGGCCAAAAGGGGCCCCAAGACGGGTCAAAAGAGTGCCAGAAGGACTCTCAAGAAGGCCCGGAGAGGCCTTCTTCTTCTTCTCCTCCTCCTCCTCCTCCTCCTCCTCCTCCTCCTCCTCCTCCTCCTCCTCCTCCTCCTCCTCCTCCCCACCTCCCCTGCTCCCCCTCCTCCTGCTCCTCGTCTGCCTCCTCCTCCTCCTCCTCCTCCTCCTCTCCTCCTCCTCCTCCTCCTCCTCCTCCTCCTCCTCCTCCTCATCATCATCATCATCATCATCATCATCATCATCATCATCATCATCATCATCATCATCCCCCCCCCTCCTCCTCCCTCATCCGCCTCCTCCACCCTTCCTCTTACCTCCCCCTCCTCCTCCTCCTCCTCCTCCTCCTCCTCCTGCGCCTCGTACCCACCCACGCTCGTTTTCATCTTCGTCGTCTTCAGGGTCGGCGGCACCGGCCGTAAGGCCTTCGCAATATGAGCGAGAAAGTATGAGTAAGTCAGAGTAATTTTCAATGAGTATGAGGGGTCTGAATTTGATGAGCGAATCTGATCTGAGCGAGGAAGAGGTGCTGATGAGTAACTCCGAATGCGAATGAGTGCATCTGAGCGGGGGAAAGAGGAAGGATGTGAGTGAGTGAGGAGCACACATTTCCAAAGAGAAGCCTGCCAGGCTGAAACTGGCAAACCGCTTCAGACATCCCCACAAACTGCGCGTAAATCCTGGAGTGCCCCTACCCCTGGAGGCTCTGCCTTGGCTTGCCCCAGTGAAACGCCTGCTATATCGCGGTAGGCCTTGGACCCGTGAAAGGAAAAGGCTGGGGGGCAGAAGCACGCAAACCCGTAGCCATTTTGGCTCTGCCATTCGGCAGGAGCTGGCTGCGCGTCCCTCGCCTGCGGCGGGGCTGGTGTAGTGATGGAGGCGCTGGCGGCCTCCCAAGCGGCGCAGGCGGCGTACGGAGCTGCTGTGGCGGTCCTCGTCTCCGGCTGCCCGCCCAGACAGTCGGCCTTACTGCTGACGGCGGTGGCGCGTGGCGCGGCCTACGGCGGCAACGGGAAGGAGGCGGACGGCGCTGGTGTACCGGTGGCACTTCTCGAGGAGGTGTTGGTGGCCATCCAGCGGGGCCTCGGCCTGGCGGACAAGCCCACGCTCCCGCAGGCGAAAGAGATGCGACGTGACCGAGGCGGGAAGGCGTTGGCCTCACGCCTGGGTCGCATCAATAAGCTCAGGAACTCTGCCTTGCACCTGGACGTCGGCCTCCCTGGCGACGTGGACCCTTTCCTCTCGGACGTCTCCGAGGCGGAGGGCGGCAAGGACGTCGGGAAGGAGAAGATGCGGGCGGAGCAGTACCAGCTGCAGCGGGGATGCGGAGGTGGAGTCCTCCTGGAACTGGAGGCAGCTGCGCCGAAGGGGCAGCCGCAGGAGTCCGCGCGGCAGCTCGAGGAGCGGGGCGCGGAGTGCTCGATCCTGCATGCAGCACGAGGTGGCCGAGTTGGCGCAGAACGAGGCGGAGCATCTGCGTATGCTCACCGTGCGGAGCGGCCAGCTGGCGGTGCCCACGAAGCTTTCCCGAGGCGGGCGGGGACGGCACGGCTCCCCTCGAGGGCGCGGACGGCACCACGAGGGAGGCGGAGATCAAGACGCCCACGAAGTGCAAGAAGCCCAAGGAGCCGCACGTCGAGGATGGCGACAGGGAGAAGATCGAGAACCTCAACGAGTCCCACGAGTTCGACGGCAAGCAGCAGGAACTCGGGGGGCATAGGCGCCATCGCCCAGGACGTCCTGCAGGATTCGAAGCTGCAGGACAAGTTCGACGGCGGCGACAAGGACAAGATCACGATGAAGAGAGGCGACCGCGTGCACATCACACGCAGGGCGCGCTGGCAGCGTCCTCGGTGCAGGCACTCCGATCGTCCGTGTTCGTCTCGACGGCGCTGGCGCGGCGCGGCGTGGGGTGGCCTATGACGCGCCACGCGACAACGTCGAGAGGGTGCCCGAGGAGCTGCGGCAGCCGAGGCGGTAGCTCGCTGCGCCTCGGGGCGCACGTGTGCCGCGCGGCCGTCGTGACGCTGGGCGCGGCTCGTAAAGCTGGGGCCCGGTTTGGGCCGTGTGGTCCCTGGTTCGGGGTGCTTTCGGGGCGGCCGCCGGCGGCCTCGGGTGGGTCGGCTCCGTGGGGCGGCGGCCTGCCTTGTGATGGCCTCCTTCCTCGGGGGGCCGTGGCCTGGGCAGCTTGCCTCTCGGGGCGTCCCCGGGCTCCTCGTCGCCGACTCGGTGGGCTGCCGTCGCGCTCCCCAGAGTAATCAGACTGGTTCGGCCAGCGGTGCCCCCCCAAAACACACACACACACACACGCACAAACACACACACAAACACACACACACAAACACACACACACAAACACACACACACACACAAACACAAACACACACACACAGACACACAGACACAGACACACAGACACACAGACACACAGACACACAGACACACAGACACACAGACACACAGACACACAGACACAAAGACACACAGACACATAGACACACAGACACACACACACACACACACATAAGCACGCAAACCGCCCGAGGCATCGCCATAATCTGGGCGCGAGCCCTGGAGTGTCCCCACCCCGTGCGGCCCATAGCGCGGTGAGCAGTGGACCACCACCAAAGAGGCAAGTCTGGGGGGCAGCAACGGGCACACCGCGCGAGGCAATCCCATCCATCTGGGCGCGAATCCTGGGGTGTCCCCACCCCTGGCGGCTCCCCCATTGGGGTGCCCAAGTGCCAAGCCTGTTTGCTCGCGGTGGGAATTGAATCACCAAGAGAAAAACGTCTGGGGGGCAGAAACAGGCAAACCGCACAAGCCAACCCACCCATCTGGGCGCGAATCCTGGGGTGTCCCCACCCCTGGCGGCACCCCCTTGGGGTGCCCAAGTGCCACGCCAGCCAAATCGCTGTGAGCATGGAAACACCAAAAGAAAAAAGCCTGGGAGGCAGACCCGGGCAAACCGCCTGAGACATACCCACCATCTGGGCGCGAATCCTGGAGTGTCCCCTCCTCCAGCGGCTCCACCTTGGGGTGCCCACGTGCCACGCCTATCGTGGTGAGTAGTGGACCACCAGAAAAGACTGAGCGAGTCTGAATGACAAAGAGTGCGCGTCGGAGTGAGGAGGAGAGGGAGGAAGGAGGTCCAGAGGCGTCCAAGCAATGACACGATCCAAGGGTAGGATATGTCGAGTAATGGAATCCTGTGTGCGTGTGAAAACAATACGCGGAAAGGGTCCTACCCCTCCCTCCTGTCCCTTAATTACCGTGGCGTAGAACTCCTCTCTAGTCGCCCAATCGGGTGGCGTAGCATGGCGTAGCATTACATGGCGTAGCACGGTGTTTAAGATCAACGCGTTGCATGACTTAGCATGGCGTGGCGACGCCCCAAAGTGGGGTGGGGGCTTCTGCAACCTAAATCAACGATTCGGCACCGAATGTGTAATCATTTCCTATGTTTTATTTCGGGAGACCATTTTCTAGATCTTGGGGCCTGCTTGGAAGGACCGAACATGCCGTGGCATGGCACTGGAAATAATGACGCCAGCGCTGCAGCGGGAGCACGATTCGGGACGAGCGGAAGCGCGGAAATAAAGCCAGCGCTACAACGGGAGCACGATTCGGAACGAGCGGAAGCGCGGAAATGAGGCCAGCGCTGCGGCTGGAGCACGATTCGAAACGAGCGAAGACCGAAAATGATGCCAGCGCTTCAGCGGGAACAACATTTTGAAAAAAAAGCGGGGGGGGGGGCTGGATATCTTCCGGACGTCATCGGGGGAGAGCGGAGAGTAGTGTTCATATTATGTGGGAGGGGGGGGGAGGAGGGGCAGGGAAGGGAGGACAGAGGAGGCAGGGAGGGAGGGAGGGAGGGAGGCGGGAGGGGAGCGAAGATGCCCTCATTCACTGCTCGGGGGAGTCTCGGGAAGATTGTGGATATCTGGAGTTGCGTTCGGGGGTGCGCCCGAGCGTCTCCGGTGTATCCGGAAGGCGTCGACCATGTCCTCAAGAGAACATTCGGAAGGTGGTTGGTTCACACGGAAGATAATAGGAGCTATATATACAAGTGGCACGTGTGTGCCCAGGCTCATACAACAAGCTGAAGGGGCGTTTGAAACAGGAGTGACATGCAACAGCGAAGTCGCACTCGAGCGCAAGTGGGGTTGCCACACCTTGCGATGTGTGTACCAGGGCCCCCCAGGAAGCCTCAGGAGGCCCGACTTGGATACCAGAAGAGGCTCCAGGAGGCCCCAGGATTGTGAGTGTTGTGTGTGTGATGTGTGCTTTGTGTGGTGCGTGCTTTTTGTGTGTTGTCGGTGTTGTGTGTGTATGTTATGTTTGTCTAGCGTGTGATGTGTTGGGCGTGATTTGTGTCTCTGTGTGTGCATGTAGTTCTGAAGCCCCAGGAGGCCCCAGGAGGCCCCAGGCGGCCTCAGCAGGCCCAGGAGAACTCCAGGAGGCTCCGAAGCGGGGTCTGGGGTACCAGAAGGTCCAGAAAGCCCCAGGAGGCCCCAGGAGGTTCCAGGAGGCCCCCAGGAGGCTCCGAGGAGGGGTCTGGGGCTCGATTTTGGGAGGATTTTTCATGCGAAACCGCCATTCTCTGAGAATCGGGGTCACAATTATTGAAATTACCATGTGTTTTTGAAGGTTTTATGTTAAAATGTTGAAATGCCCATGTGTTTTTGGACCCTGACGTCACGATCTGCGTGAGGGGTGCCACCGATTTTCAGAATTTCGAGGATGTCCCGAGCGAAACGGCCAGAAAAATCGGGACGACGCGCGCATTAATCGCCTCTGAGCTCTACTCCCTCGGAGAGGTGCGTATGAAAATAAATATAAATATAGATGTATATATTTTTTTATATATATACATATATATACAGTCGCGACGTTGACCTAAGGAACGATAAATAAGGAACGAGGCCCCTATTCTCGAGAAGTTAAACTTCGATTTCCCATCGAAAACATGAGGAAAACCTGAGGCAAGCTGTCAAACAATTAAGGAACACGGAGCCCCTCCCCAACGAAAAGGGTTCCTTCTTCAGCGACCCGACTGTATTCTGCGCCTCAACCTGGCTCGACCCCGATGCATGTCCTCTTCTGCCCCAGACAGCCCCGCGAGTAGGTTCTCCCTGCTCTTCCAGGGCGCCCACGCTGTCTGTCTGCCCCCCCTCCGCTGGCCCGGGAGGGCCCTTCGCGACCCCACGATTACAGTCGGGGCGTTGACCTAAGGAACCCTAAATAAGGAACGAGGCCAATTTTTTCATAAGTTAACCTTCGACTTCCCATCGAAAGCTTGAGGAAAACCTTGGGCAAGCTGTGAAGCAATCAAGGAACACCGAGCCCCTCCCCAGCGAAAAGGGTTCCTTTTTCAGGGCCAGGACTGTATCCAGGACTTGGAACGCGCTTCACGCTGCGGTTCGTAGGCTTCAGTGATAGAGGAAAGAGAACTATGCACACACACACCGATTCTGGCCAGGCCCGTCCTGAGCCCAGGATCGGTGCATACGCCCTCCTACCTTGGCCAGGAAGGCGTATACACCGATCCTGGGTCAAGGATGGGCCTTGCCAGGATCGGTGCATGTGCATAGTTCTCTTCGCCCGAGGTTAGCCAAGACTTGGAACGCGCTTCAAGCTGTAGTTCGTAGGCGTCCGTGATGGGACTTGACCTCGAGGCAATATTTACCGCAAATGCATAGCGGCTCTTGATTTGCCCCCCTTAACTGGCCCAGGAGGGCCCTTCGCGACGCCATGATTATCCAAGACATGTCACGCGCTTCGCGCTGTTGTTCGTAGGCGTCCGTGATGGGACTTGACCTCGAGGCAGCATTCACCGCAAGTGCATAGGGGCTCTTGAGCGCCACACGCCAAGCGGCATGACACAAAGACCAGGGAACATGTCACAGCCTCTCGTCGCTGACGTCTAAGTCACACCACTGCGCATATTGCAATGACAGTCGTGCCGCTCATAATGCTCACGAAATGGCTGCACCTGTTTGAGATTCTTCATGCGCGATTCTTTTAGGCCGCGCACAGCATGACAGACACGAGTCTCCGTACGTTTACACTGTGCTTCGCCGTGCTCTGGAGCCCGTTGCGTTGCGAACAGCTTAGACTTCGTCGCGCTTTGCCACAAATTATTGCCGACCACGATCAATTTTATACGCGCGCTGTATGAGCGATGGCCTTGTGCGCATCCCGGTCGGCATCCATCGCTGGCCGGGTGCGACAAAAATCTTCCAGCTGTGCCTCCAGTGAACAAGCGCGTTGGCCAGCAGACGCATGCCTTTCCAAGAGTGCGGTACCCGCTGCGCTCCAGCGGCGCTGCTCTCCATCTGGACATGGTGCAGATGGCGCATGCGAGCGCACTCTTCACATCAATTCGCGAGAGCCCTTTTCTCGATCGCCAGCTACATCACCACGGTGTCTCAAATAGTTTCCTCTGGCTCTAAAGCCATGCCGAGCCTCCCCGAGACCTTGCAGCAATGTAGCGACGCTGCGAGTGCGCAACGTCTTTCATCAGAGATAATTCAATTGTGTGACAAGTGCTTCCGTCACCAAATTCTCAACATGCTCCTACAAACGATGGGCAACACCTGCAAGAAGTACGAGTAGCATCGTCATGTGCCGTCTGTCTCCTGTCGCTGGCGTCATAGACATCAGAGGCCAGATAAGGTTTAGAACTGCTCATGCATCTCTTGCAAACTAGCTAACTTGGCTCGGACGCCAATCGACACCAGATGATGAGCGAAGCATGTTTATCCCTGGGCTCGCGTTTTATCCCGGCGTTCCATAAACATCATGCTCTGGATGGTCGCGGCACGTCCGTTCCCATCGACATTGTGTAATATCTGACGTTGCCTGGAAGCACCAATGGGTTGAGACCATTACGTTGACATGGTTGAAAGCAAACACTGCCATACTGTGCATGTTCGAAAACCAAACATTACATTGAGATTGTTGTTCCAAATCGGGCGGGCTGATTGTGTAATCCGTCCAAATTGCCTTCAAGATAATCTCGGTCGCGTGGTCCAAGATTATCCGTGATGTCCTTTACCCGTTGAGTGGTTTCTCGCGCGTTCGGGCCACAGCACTGGAGCTCCGAGTGCCAGTTGACCAGTGGGATGTTTGGAGAGGCCTCGACCAAAAAGGAGGACGAGGACGAAGGAGGTGGAGGACAGAGAGGCGCACGAGTGTGCGCAGGATGATGAGCATGACGAGGGATAAACGGATGATGCGAAGGATACGGATGAGGGGGAAGGAAGAGGAGGAGGAGGAGCAGGAGGAGGAGGAGGAGGACGAGGAGGAGGAGGACGAGGACGACGAAGAATGTGGAGCAGGATGCGTCGGGGCCTCCTCCGACTCCGGCAACGCGGCAGCCGTCCGAGTCCTCGATGGCCTCGGCGTGGCCCCCCCCCCGCCTGGGCCCGGCTCCCCGACCGAGAGACCCTGCGCCAGAGGGCAGAAAAGGACGTGTCCAAAAGCAGAGGACCCCTCGTGTAACGATCTCGACTCGGGGAAGCGCGAGGGAGAACGGGTGCAAAGGCGGCAGCGGAATCACAGGGAGGGTGAGAGGCGAGAGAGGGGATGGGGTAGGCAGGGGGAAGGGGATAGGGGGTACGTGGGAAGGCAAAAAGGGGATGAGGATAGGTAGGGGGATAGGGCGGGGGAAGGGGATAGGGGTTAGGTAGGGGGGCGAGGGGGGGGGATAGGTAGGTAGGTGGGGGAAGGGGATGGGGAAAGGGAATGCGGATGGGGTAGGTAGGGGGGGTAGGGGGAAGGGGATGGGGATAGGAAGGGATGGGAGGGAGCGGAAGCACAGCGAGAAGAGAAGAAGGGGCGAGGAAGTGATGGAGGGCCGGACGGGGCGGGGGGATTGACGAAGAAGGGGGGGGGGGCAGGAACGTCGAGGGAGGGGGCAGGGAAGGGAGGGGAGGACAGGAACGAAGGGAGGGAGGGGAGGGGAGGGCAGGGAGGGGAGGGCAGGGGAGGGCAGGGAGGGAAGGGCAGTGAGGGGAGGGCAGGGAGGGGAGGGGAGGGAGGGGAAGGGGGGGGGAGGAAGGGAGGGGAGGGCAGGAGAACGAACGAACGAGTTCTAGTGCGGACATGTGTCTGGGCCGACTTGAGGCCAGGTGGGCGAGGCCGTAGCCTCCAGATACTGCGGGGTATGTTTAGACATGCGTGCGATGCATATAGAAAACTTGCGCGATATTTGTAGTGGATATCGCCGTATGTGTGTGTGTGGTGCCGTGTCGCTGGGTGGGTGTGTTGGTCACTGCTTGGTGGTGCTGGTGCACTTAGTCTACGGTGGTCGGCACTGGTTTTGGGTAGTTTTCCGTGGTTGCTGTTTGCGGGCCTCCAGGGAGAAGAAGAGATTGAGAGCGAGAGAAAGAGATATATATATATATATATATATATATATATATACTAGAACCACGCGCGCGCTTCGCGCGCGCTCAGGTTCCAGCGAGCCCCATTGTAGTCTAAAGTGTTCGGCATCGGGTGACATTGATTGTCACAAGAATCATGCACCTCAGGGGGCTCCACCTGCGGCCCATCAGACAGGCTTGGGCCCCCAAGCCCATGCCGGCACACCCTTCACAGGGATCGCGTCCCACAGGGAGACCAACGTGATTCCATCCCTAGAGACGAGGTTCGCATAGTGGCACGTCCCTCAGGAGGACCGTACCCCGCAACTAAATGCATCTGCGGCACCAGAGGGGAATTTCATAACATCGGCCCGCTCAGTTCGGCGTACCTCTCATACGGATCGTGGCCCGCAAGGACATCCACGGACGGCCCCAAAGACAAAGTTCGCATCCCGCCGTCCCGCCTACTTCGGCACACCTCGCACACGGATCGTGATCGTGGGCCACAGGGATCTCCACCCACGGCCCCCGAAGCAAGGTTCGCACTGCGCCCCCCCCCAGCCATGGCGGTACACCCCGTCACGTGGATCATGCCCACAAGGAGCACCACCGAATTAAAGGCCCCGAAGGTTCGAACAGCGCCCCCCCCCGCCCATGTCGGCACACCTGTCACGCGAATCATGCTCCAGAACGGGCATCTTTGCATGGCGCCCCCGCGCCCATTTCGGAACATGTTCGGCACGGGGCGTGCCCGGAGGAGGTCCACATGCGGCCTCAGCGGGCGTGTTCGCGCGACACTTCACGCGGATCGTGCCCCACAAAGAGATCAGCGCACCCGTGCACGCGTGCCCCGCGGCAGCCATCTTTCCGCATTGCCCCGGCCTCTTTGGCTGTCTCACAGCGTTCCTGGCCCGTCGGACGGTGCAGGAAGTCGTTTTTGAGGCCTGTCTTCGCCGTCTTCGAGCCCGCTTGGAGCGCTTCGTGGCTGTCTTGGAGGCAATCTCAGGCGTGTTGAGTCCTCTTGAGCCGTCTTGGGGCCCTCCTGGGGCCATTTTTGGTGCTTCTTGGGCCGTCACGGGGCTATCGTGGAGGCCTCTTGGGTGCTCTGGGAGCGATCTTGGGGGCCTCGTGCGCTATCTGGACCGTCAGCAGGCCGAAAAAAAACAAATGCAAAAATATTCAAAAACCAACGGGAAATCGATTCATTTAGCTTTTTCGGGATTTCCCAACGGATGTCTTGGAGGCGTCTTGGCCGCCTCGGAGGCTATTTGGACTTATCTTGACCCCATATTGGACCGTGTAGGGTACCTCTTGGAGCCATCAAGGGCTCTCTTGAGGCCATCTTAGCGTTCTTGCAGGCATTTCTGCAGCCATCATGGGTCATCTTGGCCGTCTTGGAGGCCATCGAGGCCGTTTTGGACCGGGACCATATATGTATATATATACATATGTATACATATATATATATATATATATGTATATACATACATATAAATACATACATACATACATACATACATAAATACATACATACATACATACATACATACATACATACATACATACATACGTACATACATACATACGTACATACGTGCATACGTGCATACGTGCATACGTACATACGTACATACGTGCATACGTACACACGTACATACGTACATACGTACATACGTACATACACAGATACATACGTACATACATACGTACATACATACATGTATGCATGCATGCATACATACATGCATGCATGCATGCATGCATACATGCAAACAAACATACATACAGACAGACAAACACACAGACAGGCATACATACATACATACATACATACGTACGTACGTACATACATACATACACACACACAGACATACATACATACCTACGTACATACATACATACATACATACATACATACATACATACATACATACATACATACATACTGGTAGAGGCGCACCGCTTGGGGCATACTCGCCTGGTAAGTAATCCAAGGGTGCGCACACAAAGCGTAGCAAAACTCCTCGCTGCCCCTGGAGCGAAAAGAGTGAACGACAGGACATGACATTTACATTCTCCGACGGAGACGCATCAACCTGGCGCGCATTTATCTGGTCGATTGCCCACGGGTGTGCACGCAAGGCGAAATGAAATAAACGATCGCCTCCGCGGTGAAGAGAAAGAAGCTGCACTTGCGGGGTCTCGCGCCAGAGACACAACAACCTCGCGCGCACTTATCTGGTCGATTGCCCAAGGATGTGCGCCAAGGTGGAGCGACCCGCTCTTAAAAGTAAAGCAAAGCATCAAATTCACTGGGCTGACCGCAGGCGGACGTCACCTGCAAGCCAGCATTGCAGCCTGACGCGCCTTGGCGCGAACGGCACACATACTGAGGCGCCGACCAATTCCCTTTCTGAACATTCGAACGCCAACAATGAAACTCCGCCACCCTGTCGCAGGCACGTTGGGGCCATATGAGAGCGCTCGTTGGCTTTCGGGAAATGTTTCTGCTGTTCTCTGGGAGCGACGCCCCCCTGCCGCGCGCATCCACACAAAATCGCGCCCTCTGCACTTTGCTCCACGGCTCCACGGCGCCCTGAGCCAGAGACCGCCTCAAAACGGCCGCAAGACTCCCCAAGCCCGTCCAAAGACGGCCCAGCGGACTCTGTTGGCCCTCTCTTGAAATCCCGTTGGGATTTCTTGGGACCCTCTTGGGCGGACTCCGGAACCTCTGGGGCCGTTTTTGGGGTCCTGTTGGGCCGTCCTCGAGCCCTAGGAAGGGGGGGGGAGGAGGGGCCAGGCGGAGCGAAACAAACGATTGTCTCCGCAGGAAGCAGATAGAATCCGAGGTTGGGAAAGAGATCGACGTGAACAAGAGACCCCCCGCCAAGAAGTCGTTTTCGGTTTCGTGTCGTGCGTGTGGGCGAGGCGAGGCTGCTTCGGCGGGCGAGGGGGATGATCCCGCCGTGCTCAGGCAAAACCGAACAAAATTCTGCTGCGCCCCCCGGTTGGCCAGTGGTTGCCCGGGGGTGTCCCGCGGTGTCCCGTGGTGTGACAGAATCCGAGGTTGGGAAAGAGATCGAAGTGAACAGGAGCCCCCCGCCAGGAAATCGTTTTCGGTTTCGTGTTCGTGTCGCGCGTGTGGGCGCGGCGAAGCTGCGTCGGAAGGCGAGAGGAAAGAACCATCTGTGCTTACGGCAAAACTGGGCCAAATTTTGCTGTGCCCCCCGGTTGGCCAACAGTGGACCGGGGGTGGCTGGCGGTGGCCTTGGGGTGTCCCGCGGTGTCCCGCGGTGTCTCGTCGTGTCTGGTGCTATGCGATGCTGTGCTGTGCTGTGCTATGCCATGCTGTACAATTCTACGCTATGTTATCAATACGATGCTAAATTATGCGGTCTGATGCGATGCGATACTATGCTGCGCAATGCGATGCTATGCTATGCTACGCCGTACTGTGCCATGCGATGCTATGCTAATATATTCGATGCGATGCGATGCGATGACATGCTATGCAATGCTATGTTGTGCTATGATACGCGATGCTCGTCTATGCTGTGCTATGCGATGCTATGCGATGCTATGTTGTAGCTCCAGTTGGTCCCCCTTCCTCCCCCACACCGCCACACACACAACCTCCTTATCACCCGAAGGATGGTCGTACATGTAGGTATGCACGGGCAGGATCTCGCGGCCAGAGACGCAACCGCCTCGCGCACACCTGCCTGGAGCGGGGAGGGATGGGGAGGAATGGGAACGATCTGGGAGGAGCGGGGAGGGGTATGGAGTGAGGTGCCTTGTGGGCCTCTTGGACTGTCTCAGAGCGCTCTGGGATCCACAGGCGCCTACGGAAGTCGTCTTGGAGGGCTCTGTGGGACGTCTTGGGGCGATCCTGGGAGCTTCTTGGGCCGTCTTGGAGGCCTTGTTGGGATGTCTTGCGGCGCTCTTGGGGTTCTCTGAGGCCGTCGTGGACGCTATTTACTTCTATATCTATATATATATGCATACATACATACATACATACATACATACATACATACATACATACATACAAGCACACACACATGTCTATCTATATATATATATACAAATAGGAACGCATAGGCCAAACATACGAGGAATCATGGCGATGTGTGTTCCTTGCGGCCCTCATACGTGTCCTCTTGGAGCCCTCTTCAAGCGCTTGGGGGGCCTCTCGGGCCGTCTTGAAGCCATCTTGGGCGTCTTGGCGCACTCTTGGACCGTCTCGGACGCCTCCTGGACCGTCTGGGGAGCGCCTTCGGGCCCTCCGAAAGCCCCCCGAAGGACCCCGAGGGAAACAGTGGGCACCGCGGGGGGAGGGGGGAGTTTGGGAAAAGTGGGCAGCCTCGGGCCCCAAGGGCCTGGTCGCGGGGTCTGCATGGTGATGGGCAACTATGATGAGCGCTTGCGCACTGCAGTCAGAGCCACCTTGAGCCAAAATGGCTACGGATGCTCGTGGGGCGTCTTTTGGGGCTCCTGTGGGGCCTCGTGGAGCCTCTAGGGGGCCTCTATGGGGCCTCCTGGTCTCTCTTGGGGGCCTCTTGGGGGCCTCCTGGAGGCCTACTGGGGCGGAAGGCTCGAATTGTCGGTTCGTGTTCCCCCTCTTGGGCCCCTCTTAGGGCCCTTTTGGGGCGATCTTGGGCGCCTCTGGGGCCGCCTTGGGGCACTCGTTGGGCCGTCTTGGGGCTCTCTATTGCGCCGTCGTGGCGCCCTCTTTGGGTGCCTCTTGGGCCGTCTTGAGCTGGTTTCTGGGGCCTCATGGGCTGTCTTGGACCGTGGGAGGCACGAAACAACGAGAACACGAACAACCGTCAAAAACCATTGAGGAAGCCTACTTGGTTCGCCTCCCGAGTGCCTCGTGGGAACCCTTGAGGGCATCGTGGCCATATTG